ACAGCTGGACGTCGCGGGGGAAGTGGGCGTCGCGGGCGTCGCGTCCCGGGCGGGGAACTGCCCTGCTGTCCTGAGGCTGCAGCTGGGCCCCAGCCCAGAGGAGCCCTGGCTGCCCAGGGAGGCCTCTAGACCCCAGTGACCCACAGCGCCCGGCCCCACCCAAGCTCAGGCACTTCCCCTCCCCCACGTAAGGGGAGAGGCTTTACTAATAATTCAAGAAGCATCAATATTGATGACTCTGTGCTCCTCACTGCAACCCGACCGCACGGGGGTCTGGCAGGACAGGCAGCCAGGTGTCTGCTGGGGGGGCCTGGCTGGCCCCCACCGTCCCCAGCCCTGCCCTCCCCACGACACGCCCCTCCCTGGGGCCCAGTCTGGAAAGCGAGAGGACGGGGGAGGTGCTGGGAGAGTGTAGCTGGCAGCTCCCTGCGAGAGGAAGCACCGGGTGGTCCCCTGCTGTCCCCCTGCCCTCCAGGACAGACATCCCCCAGGCACAGGCTGCCCCGCCGCCACTCTGAGCAAGTCCCTCACCTCAGAGCCACTGACCTCTAAGGGGGGCTTCTCCAAGGGAAGCTCCCCTGGGGGGCTTCCTGGGGGAGGCAGAGGGCTCCCTGCAGATCCTGCTGACCCCCAGGATGGGCCTCACATGTCACACCTGAGTCCTTCCTGCAGTCCCCTGGGGGTCCAGACCCAAATGGATGTGGGGGGCTGGGTGTCCCGCCCGGGGTTGAGTGACCAGCATCTCCCCATTCAGAGCAGAGGAAGAAATATTCCAACTCCAACGTCATCATGCACGAGACCTCTCAGTACCACGTCCAGGTGAGACCTGCGCCAGGGGCACCTCCCGGCCTGGGGCTCTCGGGAGAGGGGCGAGGGGCCAGAGCTGGGATGCTCCAGCCAGTCCAGAGCGCCCAGGAAGCCTCCCTCCAGCCCTGGGAGCTCGCGGTCTGAGGGTGCTGAGAGCCCGCCCTGGGTGTGCCAGGGGCTGCCGCCGCCCAGGGTATGCTGGGGAAACACCCAAGTGTTGTGCGTTGCACCCTGAATGGAAGAACCAGTGGGAGGAAGTTGTCATCCTGGCCCCAAAACAAGGAACTGGATCAGGAGGGAGGAGGCAGAACAAAGCCGCCCTTTGTGGAGGCTGGGGGAGGCCTTGGAGGGCCCGTTCTGAGGCTGGATCAGTTACCTGCATCACTGAACTAGCTGCCAGCTCAGGAGAGCTTCTCCTCATTAGTGTTCATTCACACACAGAACGCAGGAAACCTGTTATTTTTTTTTTGAGTTGGAGTCTCACTCTGTCGCCCAGACTGGAGTGCAGTGGCCGCTCCCGGCCACCGCAGCCTCGACCTGCTGGGCTCCGCAATCCTTCCATCTCAGCCTTCCGAGTAGCTGGAATTACAGGCGCGCGCTACCACGCCCAGCTGATTTTTTTATTTTTTTGTAGAGATGAGGTGGAAACCTGTTATTTAAATGATCTTCCTCGCCTGAAGGTGTGGCCCAGTGACTCTGGAGGCTGAGTGGGGAGGGTCGCTTGAGCTCAGGAGTTCAGTGCTGGCGTGAGCTGGGATCACACTTCTGAACAACCACTGCTCTCCAACCTGGGCAGCGTAGCGGGACTCCATCTCGATAAAATGACTTCCCTGTGCCTGGGAGGTGGCTGGGCTCCTGGCCACGGTCCAAGCCTGGGGGACTAGGACGAGGGGAGGGAGGGGAGCCTGGGGCTGAGGCCTCCACCACCGCCAGCCCTGGCTGTGGTCCTGCCCTGCTTCCTGGTTCCCTCTTGCTGTCTCCCCAACCCACATGGGATGCTACACTGACAGAGGTGAGGCAAGTCACTGTTCTTCGAGCCTCAGCTTCCCTGTCTCTAGAATGGGTCCACAGAACCATCTGGAGTCCCCAAGCTCTTGAATCAGGCTGTATTTGGGTGACCAGGGCCCTCCCAGCCAATTGGACAGGCTGGGCTGCTGTGTGTGGCCAGGCTAGTGACGGCTGTCCAAGGGCAGGGCATTGAGGGGCAGACAGGTCAGCTCTGGTCCCTTCTTCCTGGGAAACTCTGTCACTTTTCTCAGGGGTGGGACTTTGTCCTCCTCGGGGAGGAACCACCTAGGGCCTCCCAGTTGGCTCCTGGACTTTGGTCCAAGCTGGCTTGGCCTTGCCCAGCTGTTGTGAAAGGCCCAGCGGCACCCCTTCCTGCCTGCCCTGCAGCCAACAGAGTCAGGGAATGGGTGGGGTTTTCCTGCCTTACCCTGATGAGGAAACAGGCCCAGAGGAAGGGTGAGTATCAAGGTACTCTAGAAAAGCCTACTCGAATTTTGATTGGCATTGAGTGAAATCCATGAATCAATTTGTGGAGAATTGACATCTCAGCCACACTGAGTTTGCTCATCCATGAACATGGTATCTCTCTTTGGTCATCTTCTTTTGCTCTTTTGTGGCTTTCATCGCAGAGATCTCGCATGTCTTTTGGAGTATTATTCCTTCAGTATTTGGTTGTTATGAGATGTTGCAAATTGTATTTTTTTATATTTAGTGATTAGGGTTTTGCTCTGTCACCCGCCCATGCAATGGCATGATCATAGCTTACTGCAGGGCTCAAGCAGTCCTTGGACCTCAACTTTCAGAGTAACTGAGACGACAGGTGCAAGCCACCACAGCTAGCTAATTCTTTTTTTTTTTTTTTTTT